TTTATTTTATTTTTTAACTGCTTAACAACCTTTTGCAGGTTATTTAAAGTCAGAAAATTTCTTTAAGATTTTTTTTTTTTTTTTCTTGAGATAATAATGATTTACTGATACAATTCTTACTAATCAACCCATAGCTTGAGTGAGAAAAGGTGTATTTCATACCTTTCCAAATACCCTAAGTGAATTTAATGAACCCAACAGAAATTGATAGTCAACTATCTGATTAATAATTAATTTCAAGCCATTATCAATTAGACTTACCCACTCACTCAAGTTTATAGTATCTGGTGTTCCTAAGTGGTCACTCATCTAGGTACTGACCAAACTCAACATTGCTCAACTTTGGCGACTGATCAATGTGATGCTAGCTGTAATTTTTTTTTTTTCTGTTTAAATATATAACTATATACAAGTATGTTGAGGGGATTATATTCATACTTATCCAAGAGTATCATAAAGTGAACATAAAACAGGCACAGAAGAAAATTTTATTTAGACTTTATGCTCATAAGTGTTACACCACTCCTAAACTTCCTGCTTATTTTCATATATATATATATATATAAGTAATTATTTTGTGTGTAATACACACTTTTACCCAAATTTTAAAGTTAAAAATTAGGAGTTATACACAAGAACTAAATATTAATTTTTTCCTAGTCATGTGCGCCACCATATTTGGAACGGTAGGACAAAAAAAGTAAGTTATATCTATGATCTAAACTAATGTGTAGCAAGCAGTTTAAGTTATTAACCAAATACAGTATTTATTAAAAAAAATTATTCACATATATTAAGTCCATTTTACTCTGTTTCATTGCTGTCTGTATGAATGATGTCATAACAATTTCATTTGTGTTGTCAGTGAAGTAGATGTCTTTATTATTTTCAATGTAGTCATTGTAAATTATGTTTGAAATCTGTGGGTAAATTCTCTGCCATGTGAGTCTCTGGTGACAAACTAATAAATTATGTCAGCTCATGCCATGCATGGACATAGTAGTAATGTCCACTTCTGTTTTGTCACTACAAAAAAATATCCACTTGAACATGTGATAGTTTATCATTTCATTTCTCCTAGTGTAAACTTATCAATGTAAGTTTGTTGCATTTTTATGAGAACATGTGTGTGCATTTGTTCTAAATACTGTAATTTCTAAAGTAATTGATTTTTTTTATTATTTATTAATGAGATTTTTATTACTTTAAACATCATTTTTAGTGGATAACCATATTTGAGTAGATGCTCTGTTTATTTTAAACAGTAGATTTATTTTCATCTACTGGTCTGAATATTTGTGAAATCTTAAAGAAAAAAAACAGAGCGTCTATTCAAATATGAGTATCCACTAAAAATAACGTTTAAAGTGATAAATCTAAATACTGTATAAATTTTGTGTTTGAAAACAACGTAAACTATAAATTCTTATTTTTAATTGATTCAAACCAGATAAAAGCTTGCTAAATTGTTTAATTTAGCTGCTCCAAATTCTAAAGTCTGTGCATATTATACCCAAGATATTGTGCTTCTAGAATTTAAGTTTGGCATCCATATTATACACAAATAATTAAACTGTGTCTTTGATATTGTTTAATTGTTAATATACCAGGAATTATTTTTTTATTATTATTATATTTTTATTTTAAATCATGCAGTGTGAGAAAAGAATGTTTTTAGACTATCATATTTTTTGTTTAGCTCATTTTATTTTTCATTTTATTTTACAAAAGCATATTATATCCAAGAAATTCATGTTTGTCATTTGCATATCATTATTCTAGACAACATCCTTCATTTATCTCTCAATCCTTTCAAATCCTGTATATTTTCATCAGGCTATTAATTTATTAATATTATTAAATTGAGGTTATATTTTATATCTTCCCCTATAATAAATAATTCAAACTTGTCTTGAATTTTTTTTTTTTTTTTTTTTTTTTTTAATTTGGCCACTAGGACTAAGACTTAAAGAAAATGAGAAATCATTAGTGAGGGGAAAAGACAATAAAAGAACAGGATTCAGGAAGACAAAAGATGGTGACTGATGTTGTATTTATATTTTTGAAGATGGCAGGGAAGCAAGAAATCAGAAGAGTTCCACAGGTGAGAAGTGTGAGAAAATAAACAGTTAGAATAGAACTTAGGGTTGCATTTGGCTATTTCTATATTAAAACAATGAGACCTAATTGCCAATTGAGTAGTATGTTTAAATTCATGCAGTTGAGATACTAAGGAGGAGGGCTTATTAGAACAACTGACATGAAAATACTTATAGAAAAGACAGTGGAAAGTGACTGAAATTGAGAGTCCAGGTCAGGACCAATAACAATGATTGACCCTTTTAAACATTCTGATTATGCATAGAAATACCCTGGTGCATTCTGAAGGTACTGATGCAGTCATCTTTATTGATTTTCTCACATTGATTGCAACTGTTTTGGTTACAGTATCTATTGTCAAGCTGAGACTGAGAAGTTGCTATTATTTATAAGTGCATTT